ACTTGCAAATCGTTCTTCATGAGCTTGTCGTGCAGTGCTAATATTTGTTTCTGTGCTAATTGCGAGGAACAACTTGTTGTTGTGCATGAGGCTTGACCTACAGCTGCGTGACCACTATAGCACGTATTCGCCTGTTTCCTTCCACGCAAAGTGGTACTGTTCCAAACAGAATCATGAAGCAAGAAAGATCTGAAGAACTACCAAAAACAAAACATCTGTTGATCATCATCTGCCCTTGTTACTCCTCCTTGTCGACTTATTAACATAATCCTCGATCACAATTCAAAATTGAACCGGGAAGAAGGCGCAGAGCCTCGTTGCATTTTATTGTTGGCAAGAAATATGATGCTAGCTGCCGCTTTTTTGACCTCACTGAGACTGTTATCACTATGAATAGGTTAATTCACGTGTGTTTTGACATGCTACGAAAGAGTATGAGCTAAATTTTTATTTTTCCCTGGGGTTTTCAAGCGCAAGTACAAGCTTTTTGTATTTTTAAGTATGACATACCCTCTGCATGGTTAGCCCACTGGATTTGCCGCAGGCAACTCTCCCCGATCGAGTGAGAGGGCAAGGCCTGCAGCTGGCAAGTGAATCTTCCCACAAGCAGAGCTCACCTCGCCCTTAGAGTCTGGATCTCGATGGTTGGTTGAAAGACACGGAGGATGAGGGCAAAAGCTCAAGAAGGTTAGCTCCTTGAATGATCTGCTTACGAAACCGCGCTACGTTAGGGGTAGAACAATCCTGATGCCGTAAATCTAGGCTACCGCGTCGGCCTGTCAGAAACTTGGATTGCCTACGATCCAGTGATAGTCAGGACGCAAATGGTAACTGGGAAAAGGTATCATTACGATACCTGTAGCTACACGATACCAGAAGTCTGTCATCGAACGCGCTAGTCGAATCTATTTCACTGAGGTGAAAAGGATCAAAGCAGATGGTCACAAGCATGTGCGAAACCTGAAGATCCGCTGAACTCATCGCATAATCGAACAGCGGTTGAATACTCTTCCAGAATGCGTACTAAAACGAGGCTTGGACAGGCAGAGTAGGATTCATCATAAAGAAGAGAGCTGTACCATTCGTGGTCGGCTCATGTTTCCATACTAATTTTATGGGTGGACAAGAGAAGATCACTAAGGACAATCGAAGCTTACAGCCCAACACAGAGAGCGGGCGACGAAGAAGTCGAGCGCTTTAACGAGGAACTGAAAGGCGCAATACGAAAGCTGTCCATGCACACAATCGTTAAAGGAGACTTGTATGAAATAGCAAGGGACAAAACCACCGAGACAATGCGGTTCATTGGATGATTTGGAAGTGGAGGACGAAAAGATTGCGGCTTCCACCTCATAGAGTTTTCCAGAAGCAACCATCTCTACATCATGAATGCCTGCCATGTTTGAAAAGAATGAGAAACGGCTTTGGACGAGGAAAAGCCTTAATAGAACGACTCCTAACGAAATCTACTGCGTGCTGATGGACACCAGTTGGACAGTAACAGATGTAATTGGAGAAAACCTCATCTGCTGAATGTAAGACCACAGACTGCTTCGCTCCACAGTCACAATCAAAATCGCCGAAGAAAAATCGGATTAGAAATGTTCAAAGACTAATGGTCATTAGACGAATATTCGGTCCTGAAGTTTTCGCGGACAAGCTTCCTCACCTGAACCTCGCAATAGACATCAGCTGACGCATCGATGCAGAATACCAGCACCTTATCGATACGATCAAAACAAACATCCAATCAATCATAGGTCAGCAATGTCGAGGAGGATACAACGCACCAGCCCTGCAACGAGGCAGCTGTTAGCTAGAAGAACCGAATGAAGGCTGATGAGCAAGTGAATGACGAATATAGTGCGCTTTGCCAAGAAATGCAATAAAAGACTACAACGAATAACGGACAGCAAAGCTGACAAAGGTCGCATTAAAGAAGAATAGCCTCGAGGCCGTGGAAGAGTCATCCTCCTAAAAAAGGCCGATTCCGATAACACTAAAGGAGAGCAAGAACCACAGATCATTGTCGCATGAAAGTGATCTGCACGAGATGACATTCTACAGCAACTTCTACGTTAAACCGGTAGTTGTCGCACGTTGCTCAGAAAATTGTTTCCGATGTCACCTGTGACATCGTATAGTTGGTAGTCAAGAATATCAAGAGTAGCAGATGTCCTGACAGGAACGGCATAAAGCACATTTCAACACAACACCTCAAGTCTTCAGGAGGAATGACTTTGTTTCAAACCTTTACCGATCAGTTCAGAGTATACATCAGACTGAAGAAGACAGCAAAAGCACGGAATAACTCATCAGCAATTTGTCTGTTCAAGAACAGTGATGCTAAAAACCTCAGAAATTATCAAACCGTCACTCTCTTCACAGGTCTGCCAGTCTTTTCACAAATTATCCTCAACCGTTCCTGAAAAGACCTGGAACTGCTCGCAGGTCTTGATGGAAAGAACAAGCCGTTTTCCAAACGGGGTTCTCCGTCATAAGCCACATTTGCGTGGTTAAGAAGTGCAAGGTGTAGCAAATCTCCCTCTGCTGCACATTCATCGACTTCAGGAAAGCGTTCGTTTGCACTGAGCTGAATACTAGACTGAATGCCTTGCGTGACGGCAGTGCCAACTCTGTCCAAGTTCACGTGACTTAGGAACTGAATACTCACGCTGCATACTGATATCAAGTTGTTTGAGGAACCATGTCGAATCAGCATCAAAAGAAGATACTCCAAAGCGACACCCTCTTCTAGCTTTTCGCTGGAATCCGTCTGAACTGCGGCGGCGGCATTGAGATCGACGGAGAACGGTTCTTCCATCTACTGTTTGTCGACCAGATCATCTTCGATGGAACTCCAAACAAAGATTGTGCAGTTGCAGAATGAGTCGCGCCAAATCGATGTGGAGATGAGTGTCTCTAAGATGAAATCGATGCAGTGAGCACTGCGCCTCAGATACCATCTTCATTAACTTTGAAGAAGTGGAAACAGTGGCTAGTTACGTAAACCTCAGCCACCTGTTAAACTCAAACAATAACATCCACGGCAGAATGAGTAGAGGAAGGAAAATGGCTTGGACAAGATTCAATCAGATCAAGACATCATCATCGGATGAAGAACTACCCATGTTTGCGACGAAACAGTTGTTCTCCTCCGCCGTCCTACCTGCCATGATTTATGGAGCGGAGTGCTGGGCTGTCATCAAGGCTGAGGAAAAGAAACTGTCAGCAATGCAGATGGCGACAGGAAAAGGGATGTGCGACGTCTCCCTTCGAGATCATGTTGCCGGTGCGATAGTTTGGTGCTGGACACACGAGATCCATATTTTAATGTACTCACTGCCGCCTGCAACTCGAAGAGACGATGCACCGGCCATGTGACTGGAGTGAAGGACAGAAGATGAACATGCCGAGTTATCAGCTGGATCTTCGTTGGCAACAGATGCCCACTCAACGACGAACTGGTTTGAGTAACCGTGGAATCAAAGAGCGAGACATCGAGAAGAGTGGCCGAACGTCGACGCATTTGTTTTGCAACCGTTGATGAAATCAAGCAGAAAAATAGAAGAATAGAAGAATGATAAGTGGGACATGACATTTTCAGTTCAACGGTTTGCCGAGGTATTCTGATCCTCTGAAATTCACCAGAAGAATTTCAAACAAGATTCGAAGAGTTGAACGATGCCAGCATTAAAGTAGGACTCAACATGACAAAGACTCGGATCATGTTTAGCAAATGGGTGGCTGAACCGCTGCTGAAGTCAATGAACGTAGACTTGAGGAGGTGCTAAACTACGTCTGTGTTGAAAGCCCCAAATTCGCAACGCAGAACCGATTGTGTAAAATTAACAAAAGAAAAAAATTGCATGGAGCACTGTCAGCAGATTTAAATTCTTCTTATGCGGGCAACCTCGATTATGCTTGAAACAGAAAGTTTTCGATCAGTGAGTGCTTTCAGTGGGTGCTACTGCTGAACCCCAACATATGGTGAACCCTAAGCGTGAATGCTTTTCATAAACTGCAGCATGGAAAGATATACGTTGGTAATAACAAGAAATGTAACGATGAATTAATGGGTAAGAGCATAAACATAATGAGTCCGTGATGTCATTGTCTGAGAAGGTTAGTTAAAATGACGATGGACAGGGTACGATGCAGGAATAACCGATTATCAGTGAGCCAGAAACATACAAGAATGGATTCCAGTGGTGAGTAGACGAACCATAGAGAGAGTTCCTGCTCCATGGCATTATGAGGTAAAGAAATTCGCTGGATCAAGAGGGATGCAAATGACAGGAAAAAGAAGTCTGTGGTGAAGTGGCGATGCTGCAATTGTAGATGATTTGCTAGTTCATGGTTGAGGGTACTATGGCAGTACAGAAGTTAACTTTCTATTGCCAACGTTTCTCCCTACGCATGTCGTAACATCGTCAGGACATGGGTGGTATGGAGCCAGCAAGCCGCCTTACATACAGAAAAATGTATCCATTTAAACTATGAGGGCAGATCCACTCTAGATTTTAAGCCGCATGTTCAAAACTTTCAGTTTTCGGTTTAAACCTTTATCACTGATTACACCGTTGCAAACTTTCTTATCAAGCTTTCATGTATCTTAACAGAACAGGAACATCCATTGCTTGTACGATATTTTGTCACCAAAATATGCAGGGACTCCTTTATCGAGAGATCCGACATATTAGTCTGAGTAAAGGAGTGTTCCTCAGAAATGGGTGTTGTACAATACCAGATTACTAGCGTGCCTGATATGGACTGCAGACAAGTGCTCCTTAATCTGAATAATCAATTTCCGGTAGGTCTTTCTGGCGTATATCTTATCACAATCTCCACAGGCGACACTGTGAGCAACAGTCAACGCCTCCTCAGTGTTGTTTTGCACATATTTCGTAGATAAAGGCTTCCGTAATTTCAGGCAGACCTTAAACCCACTGTTGTCGATGTATCTTCTTATTGGCTTAGGTACTTGTGGTATATATGATAAGATTACGATAGGTCTGTTGTGACAACTTTTAATTAAGATGTAGCTGGGGCGTAGAGTTCACTGTGCAATGCCCTTTTTGATTACACATTACGTGTCGAATTTCAGCATCTTGGGCAGAAGCATGGTGCTTGCTTCCTGCGCTGGTAAACACGTTCCTGATGATGTTTCCGAAAAGCGCAAATTGGGCACAAGACCTCAGACGTAAGTATCTGTTCGGGTGAGTCGTTTTCCGACAAACGGAAATTTCAGATTCAAGTTATGGCGTCCTCTTCACAAGCATATGTGGGAATGATATATTTCTGTTCACCTGGGCATCGGTCATAAGCCGTATTGCGCCGTTAATGTCCTATCCATTCATGTGATTCACGAAGCTTTTCAGCTGTTCCAACACGTCTTCTTTTCCTTGGAACAAAATGAAGATGTCGTCCGCAAATTTTGCCAGGATTCTGCTGTGCATTACTTAAGGCCCTTTACCTCCAGATTTTCCACATGCAAATCGGCCAAAACAGTACTTACCGGAGAGGCCGTAGGAACATCATTTTTCTGATGACGTGTTGTTCGCAAATCTGAACTTGGCGCCTACCATCACAGGGGAAGATTGACAACAGACCTCAATGCTGCAGCCTGACTCTAAACACGCTTTCCAATATTTTTCACTTATTGGATGTTCTAAAGATATCTGGGAGGATATCCCTCAGCATGTTTGCCATCTGCGGTACTGAAAAAAGCAATGACGTCCAGCAATGCCACGAAACCTTCTTGCACTTGAGGTTCTTTCAAGTTAACACTCACGACTGTTCTTCATTCCGCAAGCCACCCCGCAAGCGGTGGGCTTCAGTACCAATGGAATATGCTACCCCCTCTCAGCCAGCATGGATATCCCGCTTTATGAAATTTCATAAATACGGCTGGGAGTTATGCAGGAATTAATTGTAGATAGTATTCTCCGAACGCTTTCCTAGGGAATCGCTCCATTTCTCCTTTTCTTTTAAATTTCGTGACGTTTCCAGTAGCTGCTGGCGAATAGCAATATCAAGAGCGGCTTTTGTATGGTTCCTCTCGAAATTAGAAGATTTGATACGAGCCAGGGAACAAACGAGCTAACTTTATTATGTTTATATATACGTATAAATGTTACGTTTGTTCAGTATGAGTTTCATACTTAAACTTAAGACGTTTCGTGAAGGCACCGCAGGTGTCATCCCACATTCAGGTGAATTTCGCAGAATGAACAAATCCTGGCTATCTAGGTAGCAGAAGAATGTTATTTTTTATTCATTCTGAGATACCATCTATCAAGCACTTTCCGGATCTTCAATCCTTCTTTCATTAGCCTTCGTTCTGCATTCAAATGATACATGGTGTCATGAAAAGATTTCACTGTTTTCTTCAGAAATTTACAGTATGATATCTCCAGATCCTGCACACCAGAAGGAGTGTCCTTCTACTTGTCAACTGTACCTTTAAAAAGATGAACAGTTTTTGAACACCTTGTTACCTTGAAATCCTTTGGGCCGCCTTAGCCGCTTCGGAATACATGATGCACCCTATTTGCTCCGCAATATGATTCATTTCTCTGGTGTTGTTTATTCTAAGAACTAAATCTACAAAATCAATGCAAGAATAAAAATGTATGGAACATCTCTGAAAAAAAAAAACTTTTCACAAACTATAGCACAGACGTCTATTTTGAAAATATGAACGATCAGGAAATGAATGATCGGATGAGGGCAGAAAGAGGGTCTGTGATGCCATTACATGAGCTATGAAATTGCAATGGCAATAGATCAGACACTATGTAAACGAATGATCACTGGACAATAAATATCAGACTGGGTTCTAAGAGACAAAAACTGCTTTGTGGCAAAATTTTCAGACCGATGGCATGATCAGCTGAAAACATTTATAGGACAAACATCTTCATCTTCCATCGCCGCTTCTCCTTTCGGGTCGCGGAGGCAAACGAGTCAGACAGAGCTTCCAACGTTCCCGATCCTGTGCCAGAGTAAGGGACAAACATTGATATGAAATACGGAAGGTAGAATTTTGCAACGATGTTTTGGCCATGTGTTGCGAGTGCCTCCAGAAAGGAAGGCTAAGCAACCGTTCCTTGCCAAACCGCCCAGCAGAAGGCCAGGGTACGGCCAAGATTAACTTGGTGCAAACATAGGAAGGAGTCTGCTGTAGATTCCAGTTGTCTTTTGTCAAAGCTCAGACTATGGCAAAGGATCCGGAAAGTTGCATATATTGAATGATGAGTCTGCCTCCACGACCGGAAAGGGGAAACTGTCAAGGAAGATGAAGGTGATGATGAATTTTGCATCGAAATCTTGGTAAGGCCTTCATCCATCAGCGAATCGAGTAAGGTTGACGATTATATGAAGGCGAGGTACGGTAGGAGTGCATCTGACTTCTTTATCCTCTATCATATGGTTGAAGGTGGCGAACATTCGTTGCCGAGAGATCGTTTACTGTAATGTTCGCCAGGTGATGCCATGCGTTAAGCACTCCTTATAGAGTATCGTCCAGTTCGTTTTGTTTAATTGTTAAGAACAGTTGTAAACAATGAATCGAAAGGCTAGCACGATTAGATAATGGTAAATTGGGATTCGCAGAAGTTCTGATGCCCGTAATCTGGTGTCAGCGTACATCTGGAAAGGCACCTTGCATACGAATTCCTCTGAATTAATTCTTCATTGATCCTCGGATGAGAACATGAATGTTTCAAACAGCTGAGGTAGTCGACTCTTTCCAAAGACGAAGGTTTCCTTCACGTAAGGAAACAGCGGAAATCATCATTTTTGAACTGCTATCTAATCTGC